AAAAAATAAATAAATAAAAAATCTTTAAAAAAAAAAAATCTTTAAAAAAAAAAAAAAAAGAGTCCATTCTAGGCCTCTCTCAGCTTCTAGTGGTTGCCCACATTCCTTAGCGTTCCTTGGCTTGTAGATGCATCACTTCAATCTCTGCCTCTGTCATCACATGGCCGTCTTCACTGTGTGTCTGTGTCTCACATGATGTTCTCTGTGTGTGTGTGTCTCTTCTCTTCTGGTGAGGACATCAGTCATATTGGATTAAGGATCCACCCTACTCCAGTATGACCTCATCTTAATTAATTACATCTGCAACAATCCCATTTCCAAATAAGGTCACATTCTGAGGTTCCAGGAAGGCTGTGAATGTTGGGGGGACAATATTCAACCCAACATAACTACCCAACAGCCTATCTTGATACCTAGCCATTTTAGCAGATCAAAATGTATACTGTTAGAAAATTTTACATAATGGGTTCACTGCATGCAAACTCTTCTTGGCACAAAAATTTATTTACAGTTATTTCACATCTAATCAATTTATCCGAAGGATAAATAAAATCAAAGGGAATTTAACAATGACAATGTCCACACAGTAAAAAGTGAAACTGAGATTTAGTAGTTCCTTGGATAGTTTGATCTATGTAAGGGTAGATCAAAAAATTCCAGTCTTGGGCCAGCCCCGTGACTTAGCGGTTAAGTGCGTGTGCTCCGCTACTGGTGGCCCGGGTTCGGAGCCCGGGCGAGCACCGACGCACCGCTTCTCCCGCCATGCTGATGCCGCGTCCCACATACAGCAACTAGAAGGATGTGCAGCTATGACATACAACTATCTACTGGGGCTTTGGGGAAAAAAGGAGGAAGATTGGCAATAGATGTTAGCTCAGAGCCAGTCTTCCTCAGCAAAAAGAGGAGGATTGGCATGGATGTTAGCTCAGGGCTGATCTTCCTCACACACACACACAAAAATTTCAGTCTGAAATGTACTATTTGGGGCCTGTTTTATGAGACTGATATCTTTAAGGGTCCAAGACAATGATCAGATCCTCACTTTCTCCTCTACTGTGTGGTTAAACAGGTGAGGATTTCACAACTTAAAATTATATACTTTTACAAGGGAAATAGAACTTATAGTCCCATCCATCACCCTTCAGGTTGAAGTCTAAATTCCTGGGCATGGCTCACCAGGTCCTGGAGAGCCCCCGCCACTCTCTGGCCAAAATGCTCATCTCCTTCCCTCACCCTCCCTTTCCTCCTCCCCAGGAGCTCCAGCCTTCAGAACTCCCATTAGTGGACTACCAACTTCACCAGGCTGTCCCAGTCCCCCTTTCCCTTTTCACCTGGCCATTTCCTACTTGTTTTTCTCTTCAGCTCTCGCTTTAGACTTCACTTCCATCCCTGGCCACCGCCTCCCTGGGACGATGGTCCTGTGTCCCCCTGGATGCTTCTACAGTACCTGTGTTTTCCCCATCACAGCTCTCATGGCCTGTAATGAATTGCCCGATTGGTTGTCTTTATCCCACCCTAAGCTCAGTGGAGACAGTGACAGTTATCTGCCTTATTCACCCTTTATCCCTGTTATTCAGCAGCAGCTCAATAAATAGTCGTAGAATAAGTGAAATAAATGGAAAATGTATGTCAGATGTAAGAAAAAGAACTAAGATGATCCTTTACAGGAGTGTTTATTTTTTAAAAGAAACTGTATCTTTATAGGCATTGTATACAATGTATACTTTGCTACATTTTATGTTGGTCGTTACATTTTCCATTTCTGTAAAGACACAGGCAAGTCATCTTTGCCCCCTATAACCAACATTTGTTATGTAACACTGTTCTTGGTGTTATAGGCTTTCAGAAGCCTGGGCGTAGGTGGAAGATCACACCTGTTTTTAATGGAGTCTCTAAAATCAAAAGAGGTCAAAATAGTTGTCCACAGTCTTCAGACAAAATAATATGTCCTTAGAAATGTCTCAGCCAAGATAATGTTGAGGGGAAATGATTACAGAATCCACTTATGTAAAACTGTGTAAATCTACAATTATCTATATATGCATAGATGTGTAAAGTAATAATGTTCATCAACATATAAACAATGATTATCTCTGGGCTGGGATTCCAAATGACATTTACTTTCTTTGTATTTTTCTTTTTAACTTTTATAATAAATAAATAATATAATAATAAATAAATAGCTATCATTTTTACAAAAGCAATCAAGTTGTTCAAAGAAAAATCATTTTCTCCAAAATTATCTCCTTTTTAGCCTTAATTATATTTAACTTTCACTGTGATATTTTTTTCCTTTTCTTTCTCGCTATCATCTTGTCTGTGGAAATATTAAAACAATGCCCACCATACTATCATGACTCCTGACTGGTATAATCGGTTTGACAGCTCTACTTTTTTCCTTAGGAACATCTGCCATTACACTAAGTAAAAAAGGGTTTTTCCAAATGAAAATGAATGGTATTGCTCTGTCTTTCCCCTAATCTTAATAGATGTAGTCATCTCTTCCAGCCGGTGCTCTGACTAACAGCTATCGGAAGTTATGTTCATTTGGTACAGGTCTCTTTCCCTCACTAGTCTCTATGTTCTTGTCATCTTTGTATCCCCATCACATTGAACCTAGTGGGTGCTCAATAAATATTTGTTAAACTGAAAAAGAAGCAATCATTACTCCAATACGCTGCATATGAGGAAAGGAGGGAGCAAGGAAGGGAGGGAAGGAGGAAGAATGGAAGGAAGGAACTTAAATTCTAAGGGTTGAAGGGAAGGGAGGGAGGGCTCCAACTCCATTCCCTTTGGTTTTCCACCTTCCGGGCCACTAGGAGGCTGATCACTTTCACTCCTCTGCATCCATTTCTATTAGTCTGTCTGTAAGTTGTCGGCATCTTTCCCTCTCCTGTCTTGACCTACCTTTGCCAGCTCAGTGACATCATTGTCATTGGCAGAAGTTGTTGCACACTGTGCAGCCTCGCATGCCTGCAACCTGAAAGACAAACAGACCAACAGACACTTTAGGGAACCTGATGAACAGCACAAACGGATAAGGTAGCCCAAGAAGCAAAAGTAGGCAGATAACAAAACATGGCTAGTATTACAGTACCGCACAAGAAAGGGAGACAAAATAAAGCACAGACATCACCCCTCTGTTTCCCATTCAAAAACAAACAACAGAGGAGCCACAGCTTCATGGGGAATTTGAAGTGGGCAGGTAGTTTCTCCTGATTTCCTCTTCATTGTTTCCAAAGTTTAAAGGAAACTCTGGGGCCTGGCACACACGTGTGTCCCCTCATCTGCTGGACAATGACGCCTGAATTCTGCCTGCCCAGGGCGTCGCCTACTCTCACCACCCTTCTGTGACCTCATTCCCTGCCCCGGTTCCATGTGCCACTCTGTGACTTCATCAAGATAAGATGTTTCAGTTACAATCTCCCGAGGCCCCAGGAGCCCTGTTCCTTTACAGACCAATTCGGGGTGGGTTTAGGGCTGAGCTCTCAGTACAGCATCCTTGCCCCCAGCCCAGAGCGCCTGCTTCTCCTGATACCAACTGATGGCCATTTGGCTCCTTCCACTGGCCCCTTGAGTAGCTTCAAAGTGTCCGGGTGCCCCTGCTGCTGTTTCCAGAGCGCCCCTGCAGCCCGGGTGGCGCCACCTCTCCGCGGGCAATGGGCAGCAAAGCCCCTTGTGCGCCGGGGCTGCCCGAGCGGCTGGGGCCCGGCCCAGGGCGGCGCCCGAGGACTCCGGGAGCCGAGGAGAAGCACCTGCTGAGCAGCGTGGCCGCGGCGCAGGCCCTGGCCAGAGTCATCCGGCCCTGCTACGGCCCCCACGGGCGGCAGAAGCTGCTGGTGACCGCCCGAGGAGACACCGTGGTCACGGGGTACGCCGCCGCCATCCTCCGCGCCCTGGAGCTGGAGCACCCGGCCGCCCGGCTCCTGCGGGAAGCCGCGCTAGCGCAGGCGGAGCACAGCGGCGACGGCGCAGCCTTCGTGGTCCTCCTGGCCGGAGCCCTGCTGGAGCTGGCCGAGCGGCTGCTGCGGGCCGGCCTGCCGCGCTCGCAGCTCCGGGAGGCCTATGCCGCCGCGAGCGCCGAGACCCTGGCCCTGCTGCCCGCCCTGGCCATCCGCTCTCTGGGGCCGCTGGAGGACCCGTTTTGGGCCCTTCATTCGGTGATGGATACCCACGCTCCGGCCCAGACGCACTACTTGACCAAGCTGGTGGCCCACGCCTGCTGGGCGACCAGGGAGCTGGACGGCAGCTTCCAGCCCGAGCGCGTGGGGGTGTGCACGCTGCCGGGAGGAAGGCTGGAGGACTCGTGCCTGCTCCCGGGGCTGGCCGTGTCCGGGAAGGCCTGCGGGCAAGTGACCACGGTGCTGAGAGGCGCCAGGGTGGCTCTCTTTGCTTGCGACTTCGGTCCTGCCAGTCCAAATGCTCCGGCAACTGCCCGGCTCTCTAGTCCTGATGACCTAACCAAGTTTAGGAAAGGCAGCGAGCAACTGAGAGAGAAGCAGGTGGCCCAGCTGGCGAGAGCGCGTGTTAACGTGGCGGTGGTGTGGGGGGAAGTCGATGAGAAGACCCTAACACAGGCTGATAAGTGCGGCATCATGGTGATTCAAGCCACATCCCGGCGGGAGATGACTTACCTGAGTGAGGTCCTGGGCACACCTTTGATGCCTTACCTGCTTCCCCCCCTGGAGCCAGGGAAGTGCCAGAGGGTGTACGTGCAGCAGCTGGGGGCAGGTTTGGCGGTGGTTTTTGAATGGGAAAGTCCAGGCAACCCTGCCCTCACCTTGGTCCTCAGGGCGGCCACGACTGAGGGGCTGCGGGGTGCGGAGCAGGCTGCCTATCATGGCATTGATGCCTATGCCCAGTTGTGTCAGGATCCCAGACTGCTTCCAGGAGCTGGGGCCACGGAGATGGCTCTGGCGAAAATACTCTCAGATAAAGGGACCAAATTGGAAGGGCCTAATGGTCCTGCATTCCTAGCATTTGCCCAGGCCCTGAGGTCTCTTCCTGAGACCTTGGCAGAGAACGCAGGCTTAGCTGTCTCAGAATTGATGGCAGAAGTGCATGGAGCTCACCAAGCTGGGAACGTCCTAACAGGAGTAGGAGCTGAAGGGATAATTAATGTGGCTCAGGAAGAGGTGTGGGACACCCTAATGGCCAAAGCCCAAGGGCTCCGAGCCGTGGCTGATGTGGCACTACAGCTTGTGACCATAGATGAAATTGTTGTGGCCAAGAAAAGTCCCACAATTCAGCAGGACTCGAATCCAGATCCTAAGAAGGCAAAGGAACACCCATCTCCTGTGAAAAAAAAAGTCCTTGGAACAAATAAGTAGCAACATCCTCAGTAAAATAGGGATTGCCTCGGAGTGCACAATCACCCCAAAAATGAATGTTTGCTTTAGGGATTCCCTCCATGTTTGTTACTATTAGAGTCCGTTCCTTTCAATAAAAACAACATAAAGGACCATACGATCAAAGTCCTTTTCATTGATTTACTTCCTTTCAGATTCTTGGCTTTTGTCATTTCCTGTTTCTCTCCACCAGATTCTGTTCCTTTCCTCCAGTAAGAGCAGGATTCAATTCTATTAAAGATTTTTAAATTGAGTACCTGCACTTTGGGGATGCAAAAAACAGTGCAGGAATCTCTTCCCAACTATCTCAGTATTCCCTGCCTGCTGTTCTAATATATGTGAATTTCTTTCTAAATGTCACTTTACAATCTGAGAACACTTCATTTTCAGCTTGCAGGAGTGGCTGCTCATTCCTGTTGTGATTATTTGGAAAAAGAAGGGAATATTATTTTAAGGCAAAAAAAAAAAAGGGAAGGAAAATGAGCTGGCAGCAGGCAGAAATATAATTTTTTTAAAAAAGCATCTTTGGCATAGATAACAAAAGAAAAGAACACACACCTTAAAACTTCACTAAGGTTGTTGTGTAGGTGAGGAGAGCTGGGGCACACCTGGCACCAGGATATCCCAGGCGGGGCTATGATTATGACTGGAGACTCCTGGGCATGAACAAGGGCGGTTGAGCAGAGCTGGGAGCAGAGCAGCACACCTTACCTGAAGCCTTTTCCACTTTAACTATCCAAGTTACTTTGCCTCTGGGAAAAGAGCAGAACCTAGAGGCAGGATCTAGGAGATGGGGAGCTGCAATCTCTGAGAATCAAAACAAAAATCTTAAACATTTGGAGAGAGAACCAGACTCGAGGAACAAATGTCTTATAGTGGGCAAAGCAGCTGCAACAAAGCAAAACAAATTTGCAAAGATTCTTATGAAACTCAAAAGAAGTGAATCCTGAAAAGCTGTTAGTGAACAAAGGATGGCAAATGGAAATGTATAGAACTATACTCATGATTACTAATTTAAGATCTATAAAACATCCTGGAAGTGTCTTTCCTTGTTTTGTCCTCATTGTTATATTTTAGTGAATATAACTAAATGCTTTCATATTTCTCTTCTGCCCTCAAGTTCCCTGTTGTTCTCATAGAGTCTCAAATTTCACAACAATAGTAATGATGATAGAAATAGTCAACTTTTTAAACTAGTTCAAAAGCACTTTATATAAATTTTATTTAACCATCAAAACAAACAAACTTATGAGAAAAAAGCTTGATTATCTCTCAGTTGCAGGAGACACAATTGAGCTTCAGAAAAACTAATTGGCCAAAGCTACATAGTAAATAGAAGAGAAAAACCCACATTCTCTTATTTGTTGTTTTATTGCCCCATTATAAATTCCTCTGTTGTGATGTGTTCGGAGATATGATTACAAAGAAAGTATGTCTTAAAATGGCCCTTTGAAAATTTACAATTAGTGGGTTTTTTTGTTTTTGTTTTTGTTTTTTGTGAGGAAGATCAGCCCTGAGCTAACATCCATGCCAATCCTCCTGTTTTTTTTCACTGAGGAAGACTGGCCCTGGGCTAACATCGATGCCCATCTTCCTCCACTTTATGTGGGACGCTGCCACAGCATGGCCTGACAAGTGGTGCACCGGTGCGCCCCCAGGATCCAAACCGGGCCGCCAGCAGCAGAGCATGCGCACTTAACCGCTATGCCACAGGGCGGGCCCCACAATTAGTGTTTTTTAAATTAGACAAAAAGCCATGTTTATTTTGTAAAAAAAAAAAATAAAGATGGCTCCTGCTCACAGAGAACATTTTAGTTATAGATTTATAGGCCAAACAATGTAACATAGTATATTTTAAATGTCCTAAGTCTGATACAGAAGGGATTTTTTGGTAATTTATTTGGGGAAGAATCATATTGTAACATTTTGTTACCATCTCCTTTTCCCCTAGACAGGCAGATACACAAAACTGTATATATGTAAATGCAAATTAAAATTATTAAGGACAGTCTTACAAGGGACAAAGAAATGTATGGTAGACACAATTTTAACTGGCCTATGCTGAGAGCTTGAAAGGTAGGAACAGCTGACCCAGAAATGAAACTTGAAGACACAGAGAATTCAGGCATCTTAGGGGACTTGCTGGGGAGGTCCTGGAGCTTGACTCTGAATTGCCTTGCTTCCCATCTGTCCCAAGGCTGGTTGGTCAGCTCTTCAATTCTGTGAACTGCCAAGTATCCGTCAAATAAATCGCCCTGAGTGAGCAGAGCTGTAATCTAAGGAGCATTAGCTGCTCCAGAAGGAAGGAAATGTCATACATTAGTTAAGGTGACTACCATGGGCAGCTAGCTGACAGGGCTTAGGGAAGAGGACCAGAATGGAGAGGTCATTTTAAGCTGAAAGTGTTTGGGTATTGAGTTCCTTTTAGCAACAGTTGAGGATGATCTCCTTTCCTGCAGCCTGCCTCTAAGCTCTTGCTACTGAAAGTGTGATCCATGAGCCAGCAACACCAGCATCATTCAGGAGCTTGTTAGAAATGCAGAATCTCAGGGTACCCGCCTCCTGCCGCCCAGACCTACCATGTCAGAATTTGCACTTTAACAAGATCCCCAGGTGCTCGGGTGCATATTAAGGTTTGAGAAGCACTGATCTAAGAAATAATCCCAATTAGCTATATCTTGATTATGCTTAGAAATCAAGTATCCTCTTTAGTATCATTTTTAAGCACTCTGTTTAAGTGTCAAAATATATGACTCGGACATCAAGTTGTTTCTTTTCTCCTACTGACTATGGAGAAGTTGACCAGAATTTGACATCAATTTTACTAGATCCAGATCCTGCTTCCCAGTTTATAGGATCGAAGTCTCCTAGTAAGCAGAATTTCACGTTCTCCAAATGCCCACGAAGTTGGCTACATGTATCTCTTCCAAGATGTGTTCCAGAAGCAGCTGAATGCTGATTGTCAGAAATGACAATTTCTAGAGCACATTCTCTATGAAACTTGCAGCTGGTGGACTTGTCTGTTTTTCCATCCCAAATCTCTTCCAGTTTAGCGACACTGTTTTATGGGGCTCTGATCTGGCAGACAGAGAACAAAGAAATAAGATCTAGTGAAAATAGGGAAGGAAAATGAGAATTTCTGAGTCTTGGGGAATGAAGGAGATGAGTGCTGGCTTGGGTGTTGGAGCCCAGGGCTGAGTCATGAGGACCGTTCATCCATTTTGGCACTGGAGAGCACAGACCCAAGACTGGGACCTGCAAAAATACTAGAGTCCTAAAGGAAAGAAAGTCATTGATTCCAAACTGTGAAAAGAAGATTCAAGCAATAGGAAAGAGTTGTCGGTAGTTTGTTCCACTCCTTTGTCTGTATGGACCTCTTCCCAAGAGTCCTTTCTGAAGCGAGCCCCTTATGACAGGAGCTTCACTTTCTAGGCTTTCAAGTCTGAGGTCCCTTTACTGCAGAGGCTAAGGGATAGAGAGAGCTAAGATTCAAGAGAGAAAACAGAAAACTCCAAAACTAGGACATCTGAATCGGAGGAAAAGAGAATATCGAGGCTCAGGGACTCAACAAATTCATTTGTGTGTAAGCAAAACTAGTTTTAAGAAGACTTGCTCGTAATCCTGCAGCTAGATTGACAGAAATCGCACACGGCCGCACCCCCAGACCACTCCCATTTCTGCTTGTGCCTTTCTGGAACAGTGATCAACTGTGGATGTTACTTCACCATGAATGTGAGGGGCATAACATTGTTAAGTAATAACTGATGAGCTATTTCTCATTATGATTGATTGAAAACTTCCCCTCGTACTCAGTGATGTTGTTAAGGTAACTACTCCAGGCAAAGTTGTCCCTGTAGCGCAAAAAGGCCAAAACCTGCAGTAGACACAGAGCTCTCAGAATCTCTGTGATTCCAAAAGTAGCCGAGCCAACTTTTCTCCCAAAACATGCCCCTCCCCACCACACACCCTAAAGATCCCCCTTCCTAACTGGGGAGGGAGAGGAAGGTTAGGTAGAGTGATGCTGGCAGGAACTGTGAGAGAGGCTCTGCTCACCTCCCAGGGGGTTCTAAGGAGTGAGATGGGGAAAGGACAATAGAATCTCCAGGAAAGTTTGGGGGCCTGAGAACATGGGAGATTCTCTGCTTCCAATCTGGAATCGTGGAGCTCCCTGTGCCAACAGGATGGAGCAGAAATGGTTGTGGGGGAGAGGCAGGGAAGAAAGGGCTGAGGAATCTTCTGTGGTGCCTGAGTGCCTGGTCTGGGAGAGCAATGAGGTTTCCCTGTGCCCTGAGAAGGAGATCAAGAGTTGACTTGGTCGAGGTCTGGACTGATCAAGAAAAACCATGAAGGGTTGCCTCTGGCAACCACTAATCTGTTCTCTGAATCTATGGGTTTGTTGCCCCACCCCGCCCCCGCCACATATAAATGAGACCATACAGTGTTTGTCTTTCTCTGTCTGACTTCAAGTTCCATCTATGTTGTTGCAAATGGCAGAATTTCCTTCTTTTTATGGCTGAATAATATTTCACTGCATACATATACCACATCTTTATCCACTCATTGGTCGATGGACACTTAGGTTGTTTCCATATCTTGGCTATTGTAAATAATGCTGCAATGAACACAGGGGTGCAGATATCTTTTCAAGATAGTGATTTAGTTTTCTTTGGATAAATATCCAGAAGTAGAATTGCTGGATCATATGGTAGCTCTATTTTTAATTTTTTGAGAAACTGTTTTCCATAGTGGCTACGCCAATTTACATTCCCACCAACAGTACACAAGGGTTTCCTTTTCTCCACACCCTTGCCAACATTTATTTCCTGTCTTTTTGATAATAGCCATCCTAACAGGTGTGGGGTGATATCTCATTGTGGTTTTGATTTGCATTTCCCTGATGATTGGTGATACTGAGCACCTTTTCATGTACCTGTTGGCCATTTGTATGTCTTTTTTAGAAAAATATCTATTCAGATCCTCTGCCCACTTTTCACTTGGATTGTTGGGGTTTTTTTTTGCTATTGAGTTGTAAGAGTTCTTTATTGAAATTTAAAGTCTTTATTCAGATGTTCAGCATCACACCACAAAGGTACAAT